GTAAAACTTGCTGGCTAGGGTGAGTATTTTCATTTCAAGCGCCCATTGAGATCCATGAAGTTTCACTTCTATCGCCTAGCTTTCTAGGCTGACAATTTTTTCTATTTACTTTTATACTTTATTTATTAACTTTTTACTTTTATTTTTTGGCACTCCACGTTAGATTTATTTATAGATTTCAATAATTCGGGGAGTTGACAATCAGAACAAAAGAGAACAATATAATATTATTTAATATGTATTGGTTATAAATTATTATTATTATTATTAGTAGTAGTATTGTTTGTTAGTAATTGTTACATTATGTCATTGTACCCTTGGCTGAAGCTCACTAGCCAAGTTCGGTCCAGTTAACCCCCCCCCCCCCTCCAACTTGAGGCATTGTCACCCAGTCTTGACAAAACTTTGGCCCAAACACGGGCGCCGAGGTTTGATGAGACCAGGCTTGTGTCACGCTCAGCTCGTTTCGTAAGCATTTCCTACCTGGGTATTACTGGTTTAAAATGATTTTCATCACGATGTGTCGAAAAGTAACTTTTCGGACACACTCCGCTTTCGTTCTGGCATATTTTTAAGAGAAATATTCTAGTTATTCTTGGCATATGGGCTTATACCACTCGCTTTTGGTTCGTGCTACAAACCTCTCCCATGCTACAAAATACTTTTCCGCACTTGTTACGAAATATACTATTCTCTTCCTGTTCAATTGATCATGGGTTGGGAAGTATCACTTATTTTGGTCAGAAAACGTATTAATACTGAATGATTGAGATAATTTACCATGCTGTGTATTAATTAGTGATTTTTCCGAACTCTATCAAAAACGTATATTTTCCATCAATTAAGAGAGATGAATAAATGAATTTTGTGTGCAGGTGCTGATATATCCGCAGATATGGTTGAATATGGACAACAGCATTATGGAGTTGAGGGTAAACTGTCCTTCGTTCAATTAGATATGCAAACGCCTAAACTACCCGAAAGCTTGATTGGACAATTTGATAATGTCGTGTCGTTCTATGCCCTTCACTGGTGCCGGAATACACGGCAAGCATTGACGAACATTTACAAACTTCTTCGGCCGGGGGGTAAGGCCATTTTTATGACGATTACCCATCACGTGATATATGATGTATATCTGGAGCAGGAGAAAGATCCAAGATTTTCACCGTACATGCAGGTAAAATTAATCTGAAAGTTTTTTTCTTCCTTTAAGAAAGTTCATTTCATAGTTGAAATTTACTCAGAATTCAATAGAGTGGACACCTCCCCACCAAGGTTGTCCGGATGCCGAAGAAAAGATAAGGGACGACTTGATTGCAACTAAATTTAAAATACAGTACTGCGCTAACAAGTCAGAAAAATTCACGTATCCCACTTTCGATACTCTCGTTGGTAAGTTCCGTGTGCGGAATGTATATCTTGAGAACACCTTTCATGTCTCATACAATTATCCATGATCGTGACGCTGGTTCTATCACGGATTTTTGCGCCAATTTCATTTTCCTTGTCGGATGGATCCTCAATATTTTATAGTCACTCGAAAGTCTCTCAGATCCGCTCTAAATTGACACTTGATTCATCCAATTCTCA